TTACCACATCTCAAGTGTGAGGGAAACAGAGTCATTAGGCAGGTGGTAATCATAAATGGGTGGGATGACCAGAGCTGACACAAAGCAGGAGCACTTCATGCGCAGCATGGGGAAATTAACTGTCCCTCTGGAGAGGGAGCAGTTTGGCTGCAGGTGCAACAGAAGCAGAAACTCCTGAGGATTGAATCAGCTACAGTTTTCTTACTTGCACAGGATGATGTTATGCTTTCTGTTTCAACAACAATGTTTCTTTGAAAGCAAGTTTGGTGCCCGATCTTTTAAAGGTACGGTCCACTTTTTATCATAACTGCTGGGAAATCTATTATTTCCAGTTATGATTAGCAGCCTCTAAGCTGCTAATTGAAAAGACATGCACTGTATGGCATGAGGCAGCCATCTGTCCTGAACACCGCAAGCTGCTCCCCTGCGGTGGGGCCTACTGAAACTGGCAGCCACTGAGCAGCAAACACATCACACTTTGTTCTGTCAATAATCTAGATGATCAATAGATTGATGAGGATAGTCAGGTTTCCAGATTGACTGGTTGACGGTACTGTGGGTTCTACAATCCAGTAACAACAAGCTGAGAATCTCTCATCACGAAAAGCTGAACGGGTTATTAGACTTTTTCAGATTTAGTAAAGAATGGTGTAACCTTACGAAAACAGCAAGGCAAGCTGGGGGCATTGAGTACAGCAAAACGGAGCAAAGCCTGTGGACTACGGTGAACTTTCCAAAGTTCAGCTTGTCACAGTGGTTCAGGAAACATCCCTGAAGTGAGCCGTGGGTGACAGCTGCTGCCACTCCACTGGCACAGGTAAATGCCAGGAGCCCCACTTGGATGCATGGCGTGCAGACACACAAAGTGCACAGAACCAAACACAGACATACTGCTTTAAGGAGTCCAAGCAGGGTTAGATTTATGCCACTGTCAGCTTATAGAGATCATGCATGTGTAGAGACCCACAAAGGTATTTAACTTATTGTTGAATATTTTTTATTTTTCATATAATGAAATCTGTCCTGCACATGTATTTATTCTCCTTTACTCTGATGTTCCTAAATCAGGGGTCTTCAACGTTTTCTAGGCCAAGGACCTCCAAATTGATGGCGAGATGGAGCGGGGACCCCCTAATTATATATGTTGAATGAAATTGTTTTATATCAAACTGGTCCTATAGTCCCTCTATTACAGATGGAATCATGTAATGAAAGTAATTCCTCCCTGGGATTATTAAAGTATTTCTGATTCTGATTCCTGGTTGATGGGACAGGTGTTGTGAATGAAACGGTGCCCAGCTTGAAAGAGCTCCTGTGTGTCGCTGAATGTGTGCATTGATGACTGAAAGACATCTTCTGCCTCAATTTATCTGTTTATTACAGTGTGTTTTATTCATGTTAATGTGTATTTAAAGACTTTTCAATTAATGGAAAAATTGCAGGGGGGAATATAAAAAAAAAAATGTTATCAACCAAAACTTCGCGACCCCCATGCAGTACCTCTGTGGACCCCCTAGGGGTCACCGTCCCCCTGTTGAAGACCTACGTCCTAAATAAAAACAATGCAGCCCAAAAAAGGTTCTAAACCAAGTCTAACTCTCTGTAGTTTGGTCTGATTTTGCGCCGATCTGCAAAGGCCGAGTGAATTATTATTATTATTTAATATCTAAGAAAAGAAAAAAAATCATAGTTAAGATGAAGGAACACAGCAGGTTATATATATATATATATATATATATATATATATATATATACACTATATTGCCAAAAGTATTTGCTCACCTGCCTTGACTCACATATGAGCTTAAGTGACATCCCGTTCCTAATCCATAGGGTTCAATATGACGTCGGTCCACCCTTTGCAGCTAGAACAGCTTCAACTCTTCTGGGAAGGCTGTCCACAAGGTTTAGGAGTGTGTTTATGGGAATTTTTGACCATTCTTCCAGAAGCGCATTTGTGAGGTCGCACACTGATGTTGGACGAGAAGGCCTGGCTCTCAGTCTCCGCTCTAATTCATCCCAAAGGTGTTCTATCGGGTTGAGGTCAGGACTCTGTGCAGGCCAGTCAAGTTCATCCACACCAGACTCTGTCATCCATGTCTTTATGGACCTTGCTTTGTGCACTGGTGCACAGTCATGTTGGAAGAGGAAGGGGCCAGCTCCAAACTGTTCCCAAAAAGTTGGGAGCATGGAATTGTCCAAAATGTCTTGGTATGCTGAAGCATTCAGAGTTCCTTTCACTGGAACTAAGGGGCCAAGCCCAGCTCCTGAAAAACAACCCCACACCATAATCCCCCCTCCACCAAACTTTACACTTGGCACAATGCAGTCAGACAAGTACCGTTCTCCTGGCAACCGCCAAACCCAGACCCGTCCATCAGATTGCCAGATGGAGAAGCGCGATTCGTCACTCCAGAGAACGCGTCTCCACTGCTCTAGAGTCCAGTGGCGGCGTGCTTTACACCACCGCATCCGACGCTTTGCATTGCACTTGGTGATGTATGGCTTGGATGCAGCTGCTCGACCATGGAAACCCATTCCATGAAGCTCTCTGCGCACTGTTCTTGAGCTAATCTGAAGGCCACATGAAGTTTGGAGGTCTGTAGTGATTGACTCTGCAGAAAGTTGGCGACCTCTTCGCACTATGCGCGTCAGCATCCGCTGACCCCGCTCCGTCAGTTTACGTGGCCTACCTCTTCGTGGCTGAGTTGCTGTCGTTCCCAAACACTTCCATTTTCTTATAATACAGCTGACAGTTGACTGTGGAATATTTAGGAGCGAGGAAATTTCACGACTGGATTTGTTGCACAGGTGGCATCCTATCACAGTTCCACGCTGGAATTCACTGAGCTCCTGAGAGCGACCCATTCTTTCACAAATGTTTGTAAAAACAGTCTGCATGCCTAGGTGCTTGAATTTATACACCTGTGGCCATGGAAGTGATTGGAACACCTGATTCCAATAATTTGGATGGGTGAGCAAATACTTTTGGCAATATAGTGTATATATATATATATATATATATTATTATTATATATATAAAAAATATATCAAAGAATCCAAATCTCACAGAGCTTTTCAATCCATCATTCAGAAATGGCGTCACAGTAAACCAGAACAGGTAAGCAAGAGACACACAGATGATCGAAACTAAAGGTAATAATTCCTTGAATTTGGCTTTATTGGGGACTGGCAAAAATAAATCAAATAAAAACTAAAGGGATAAGGATATTGGGAATATTAAAAAAAGATTTAAGGAGAACAAAAACTAAACAGTTGTTCTTTATTTTAAATGTTTGGTGTGAAAGTCAGCCTAAAAACACCTTTCCCATAAAGACCCAGGGAAAAATCATCATGAAATCCTCTTGTTTAACAAGAAAATAAAGGAATATTTTAACAAAAGCAGATGTTTTGTTCAGTACAACAAAAACTCCTCTATGTGATCTAGATTGTCTCTCTCCAAAGAATAAGATAATCAAAATTGTGAAATGATAATAATAAAGTATTAATGCTGCATCATGGAGCATACATGTTTCCTACTGTAAAAGAAGCAATTTTATTTGAAAATAGCAAATACCTTTTGGATTTTGTCATTTTCTTTCATTATATTTGTCTGCATTCCTGGGGTTTATTCGTTTAACTGGATTTCAGGATTAAATGCCAAACAATTTGAGCCACTTGTATCTAACTTAGCTTTAACGTCTGGTGGACTGTGACTGCTTCTGGAAGCTCCTTTTTTTCTTTCTGTGATGAAAATATGATGTCACAAAAACAACATAAATGATGTAACATCAAGCAACATGACACTCATGCTTTACATCCAGAAGTTCTCACTCCAAGAGCTCTTGATCTCCTTTTAGCTCCCGCTGACAGCTAAAGGTTTGAAACCTGCTGAGTAGGCGCTGATTAGATGTAGATTATTGATTTTGTGCATTGACTCCCATCCTGTCTGTTCATATTCATTTGGAGCAAAATGAATGGTTTCAGTAATGACATGTACAGCTGCTCCCAATCTAAGCTTTTCTTTTATTTCCCTGAGGAGTGATCTGAAGCAAAGCGGTAAAATATTGAGATTTATTTCTGTGTCCTAAGAGGGATTTCTTCATTAGTTGGTTTAGAATGTGCAGTACTTAGAATGGCCACCAGGTGTCTGTAGTGTAGAGGGGATATCTCTTGTTAAAAGGTTCCTCCTCAATCCTTTTCTGCACACTATGAATATCAGATGGTTTGCTGCACCACTTCATTGTGGTTTGACCTGTTTCTCTCAGCAGGAAATCCCACCTACCATCAGAAACTGCAACGCTTTTTTTCATGAGAAGATCAGCGATAAGACAAAATGAGAAGTATGATCAGAAAGATAATGAACAGTAGAATAAATCTGACATTCATGCATAAAGACCCTCTTTGCTTTCAAAGCAGTTACAGACGTCTTTGGAAGCTCCTGCAGAGGACTTTCCTCAACACTTTGTTTAGTAATTTCTTTACATAACATGTAAATATACAGACCTGATCAGAGGTGTCAAAAGTAGTAATGTTTATTACTCAATTAGAAGTATAAATCCTACTTTTTTTAAAACACTTTTGTAGAACTTAGAGTATCAGCTTAACATTTTCATTCAAGTAAAAGTGTAAAAGTACCATGTTTGAAACTACTTAAAGCATAAAAGTAAAGTAGTGCAGGAAAAAGTGTTGAGGGGACAAGCTTTATTGCACTACTCTATTAAAGGGACATTTTTCTTCTGATCATTTCCTTACAATTATTTTTCTTTGTTTTATACCTAATTGCAACAGTGTCAAGTTTAACTTTGCATCATCTTAAAAGACAATTAAAAAAATAAATAAAAGCAAAATAAAAAATAATAAAAAAAAGAAAAAACATTCATTTTTTATTAGCATACTAACAGAAAATATCAGCTTTGCACACAGAAATCCCAGTTATAGTGGATATTTTGTATAAATATAAGGAAGGTTATAAACTGCAGGTCTTTTTTTTTTTTCAGCAAAGGGGACGCAGTAGCTATCGAGACAGAACTACTGAGGGACTACAGGTTTGGACAACAGCAGCTGATTGAACTTTGGGGACAAGCCTGCGCTCTTGCCATCACAAAGGTATGGACAAAGTTTTTATTTCATAACTCAGTTTTTCTTTTCTTTCTTTTTAGTGTCATAGGAAGCTAGCTTAAAATTATGTATAAGACAGCAGGACAAAAAAGGGAAAATCCATCCATCCATCCATCCATCCATCCATCCATCCATCCATCGGTCTGTCTTTCCATCCATCCATCATTGATTGGATTGTTAAATGTTGAAGACAACTTGGTTTAAAAAATGATTCTCAAGTCCAGGATCTTTGTTCTTCAACTATAGAAATTTGATTTCATGCATAGTGATCACTACAGTGTATATCTGTTTAAAAATGTTATTGGGCACTTAAATCCACTCTAGTGGAAGCTGTTGCATCATCCCATACAGAAAAAAACCATATATTGATCATTGCAATGAAAAAAAACCAAACAAAAAACCCTGTGAAATCAAGATGGTTGACACACAGGGAAAAAAAAACATTTCGGTTTCTACAGGGGAGCAGAGGAACCACCATTCCAACAGAATACCATATTACAGCTGTAAAACTAAATTACAACTATATCTATGCAAGTACTTTGATGGTATATTGATTTTTAGACACTTGAGTGGACAGATAATTATTTCTTTATAGAATAAAGATAGATTTTTTTTTTTTTTTTTAAAACCTTGTTTTACATCTCTAAGGAAATACAAAAAGACTCATATTATAATTCATGCATGAAAGGGTTAAAATTTAATTTTCAATAAGTGATCATGTTTCTGCAATTAAAGTCTTAAAATCTTATATCTCAAGTTTAACAACTTTCAGTTAGACTTTTTAAAAGATGTCAGAGTTCTGTCCTGTACGGATCGGGGCGAGTTTCAGCCTCATGGTGCGTCCTGTGTCGTGGAGTATACAGGGGGGTAAAGAGGGGAGATTAGCCTTTCACGACCGCCTCACGATCGGGAATCGTAAGGTCGGGAAGAAATCAGACATATTAGAAATTCAGTCTGCCCTTGTGAGGCGTTAGTGGGCAAATCCTGCTATTGATGCAGAGCTACGAGTTGATCTACCAGAAAGTCGTGCACTGCCTGTGTGCAAACAAGGGAGTTCTTCTTCTTCCAGATTGATGAGTCCGACCAGCGCCATGTCTTGGCGGTGAGTCCCACATGTGTTTTTTGTATGTGCAGTGTGATTAGGTGGATCACATCAGAGCGTCGGGCCGTACAGTTTAGGAATAAACATTGTTAGCTGTAAAGTTTTAAACTCTGTGATTTCTCTGTACAGTTTGACCTTTAGCTGAGTACAATGATTGAAAATATTGTACATTGTATGCCTGGCCTAATAGGAAACTATTTATATTTATTTAAATAGAGGAAAACCTCATTTAGCAAAACAAAAAAAAAATAACAATAAAAATCCCAAAATGTCTGAAATAAGAAAGAAAATCTTCCTTAAGGTCCTCAGTGTCCGGCATTCCCTCCTCAGCCTCACAGTTTAAATGTCCTCCTCTATTCTCAGGACATTCGATTATATAAGAGGGGAAAACGACACAGCTGCTGCTTACACTCTAATTGGCATTTGCTTCCACAAATTTCTAAATATGATGTAGGGAGAGAGCTCTGAAGTTTCATTGCCATTTACTGCCAAACATTTGTGCGGTTCACCTGGGGACAGAACACCTGAGCTAACTCTTTGGCAAAACTGAACCACAGCGCTGCTGAAACACTGGGCCTCTTTTCTGCTGCGGTTGCTTTTTCATTGCGCTGTGATCTGGACTTTTTCAGGATGAGGTGAGTGTGTCAGGCAGAGCTGGTAGGAACATATGTGGGTGTCTTTGAGCAGACCGCTGGCTTGGTCCAACGCCTTTATGGTTTCCACTGTGGGCTTTCAAAGCGAAGGTCCGAGTTACATGAAATCCTGCTTCGTTAGGAGGAGAGAAAAAGGACAAGTTAAGTCAAAAACCGTCAGGAGAGCACCTCAGCCACCTTCCAGATGAGAGTGAACCCGGGTCCTGTGGGACATCAGTCAGAGCAGAGCTCAGGCTTTCTGTGTGATTTAACCAACCGCATCCACTTCCCCTCTATTATCATCAGCCGCCGTTGGCCTCATGTCTGGCCCTCCACCAGACACCCTGCAGCTTCGTGTTACTAGACAAACACGGACTGGATGCGGCAGATCACGGCTGCCCACAGCCGCCAGCAGAGCACCGCTGCTGAACATGACATCATTTCTATTTAAAGGAAATTACAGTAGAAGGAGCAGCAGACGGTCTGATTTCACTGATTTCATTGCTAGCTGCTCCCGCTGCTGGATACCACACCAACATTCATATGTTTCACACACACACTGGTTGGCAGATAGATTTTAGGTTTTCTGTAAGTAATCCCTTTAGTGTTCTAACAGCAGCGGCCACAACCATCAGCTGCAGACTCTGGATTAGTCTGATGGTTTTCAACACCTAAAGTCAGACGGGAGATGTTTGCAGCAATGAATCCATTTGAATTCAAAGAACCAGACAGCGGGTTGGTCGGTCAGTGCAAACATCAGAGGTCCTGCTTTAGGGGATCAAACCTTTTTTAGGTTTCATGATTTTTCCAGGTAAGTGGGAAGGTGGATATAGAAGTTTTCTTGTCCTTCATAGGTGTTTGGTTTAAGACATCACAGCCATGACTATCCCTAAGTGTAAAATTCCAATACCCCTTTCCCACTGGACAAAAAACCCCATTTAAACCCGGGAACAATCAGCTTTTAGTGACAGTGGGAACAGCTCATTTAACACATTTCTACCCAGATCTCCTCGGCTCTGGTCTGCATGTTGTGGAAACACCAGACCTGCTAATTTACTTGATACCATCGAACACAACGTGAGGACGTCAACAAACAACTCTGTGTATTCTTTGAACATGGTGCAGCGCTGGTGAGAGGAATTCGGAAAGATAATAGAGTGAAACAATAAAGCACACTGACTATGCCCTGGTTTGCTTAAGCCCTGAACACTACAGTTGCATACACATTTTAAATCTCCAATCCGATTTTTTCCATGTCCCATTCACTGCGTATAGAGAGGCTCAGACTAGGCAGGGTTGGCAGATCTGCACAGATTTAGTTTCACCACGTTCTCTGTGCTATATACAAATTAAAACAATTCCCCACATTTGCCTTGGACATATTATGAAAACCAAAAATATGTATAATATACTGGTGGCCTAGTGGTTAGGGCATAGAGCTTGGAATCCAGAAGTTCTGAGTTCAACACCCAGTCAAACAGACTGCCAGTCTGGGTCACTGTGCAAGACCCTTAACCCCCCACACTGCTCTCCTGGTGAAGAAGTATAAATCCTACTGTTTAAAAACACTTTTGTGGAAGTTATGCTTTTTACTCAAGTAAAATTGTAATAGGAACATTTTAAAAACTACTTAAAGTATAAAAGTAAAAGTAATGCAGAAAAAAAGGTTAAGGACAGAAGCTTCTGTGCACTACCCTATGAAAGGAAAATGTTTCTACAATTCTGGATGATATCTTCCTTGAACTTATTTTTATTAGTTTTATAAACCATGGTAAAAATATCAAACTTAACTTTGCATCATCTTGAAAAACTATCTATGTGTATGTGGCGAACACCAAGTTGGGTCAGCATCGAGTCCAACTACAAAGAAATTAATTGTCTGGATAAAACAAAATATTTAGATGTTTTTTTATTTTTTATACCAACAGGCCATAATGAAAATGAACATAAATGAAACAAACTAATTAGTCATTTTTTTTATTGTAAGGGGTAGAAGTAAAAAGTTGTCTAAAAATAATTACTCCAGTAAAGTACAGATAGACAAAATCTCTACTTAAGTAAGATTACGAAGTATTCGTACTTTACGAACAAAAACAATATATGAAACTTTTTAATGGAAATCTGCCCATTACAAAAAAAAGGTAAAATGAAGGTTGGGTGAAACTGCAAACCTACCATCACTGGGCTACAGATATCCACAGTTAAGGTTGGAGGACCTATTAACAAAACCACCATTGGACGAAGTTAAAAGCCTTTGTTTAAGCAACACTTTAAGAAATTCTGTTTAATGTTTTGCACATCGCTTTGCAAGGACAAAGCAAACATGTGCTGTAGGAGATGGGGTTCTTATTAAATCCATCTATATTCAAAATGGATTTACCATTTCTGAAGAAACGCAGATGCAATTTTTCCCCAGCTTTTATTATCATTGCACTGTCAGAAGTACAGAGCAAAGAAATCTCTGCAGTTAACCCATCCCCTTGGGGAGCAGTGGGCTGCCATTGTGCGTTGTCTAGGGAGCAGTGTGGGGGTCAGGGACCCAGAGGGACAGTCTGTAGGAGTGGGGCTTTAACTCAGAACCTCTGGATTCCAAGCTCTATGCCACAACCACAAGGCCGCCACTCCTCCTAGGCATAAGTTACACAATGACTCATCGTTCTAGCAGCTCCACGCTGTGAAGATGTTTATCTTCAGCACAGCTGCAAAACCTGGTCAGGAAGATACAAAGATAAACTAAGTTCAAAATAGAACAATTCAGGTGGAAAAGCTGCCATCTGACATTTTAGTAAAGGTTTGGCTTCCAGTGGAACGCCCAGAAACAGGAAGACTGGCAGGATTTATAGAGCTGCATTCATAGCATCAAACTGGTAGAGGCTGTTCCAGGTAAAGCTCAGGCCTAAATCCTAAAATCTGTGGGAAAACTTGGATTCGGAAACGCACTCCATCCACAAACAATGAGCATGACCTATTTTCTCAAGAAGAATAGGAAAAAACCTTTGGCCTAAACTGCAGTTATTCAAAGTTCATAGAGGAATTCCCTCAGAGGAGTTACTGCTGTCATTTCAATTAAAGGTAGTTTTACAAAGTATTTGAAGGGGCGTATTAGAAAGGCATGTCCCCATTTTCAGGCCGATTGGGGAAGTATTTTAGAGCACCAGGTATCTGTTTTCTTCCACTGCTCAGTTTTGCACTACTTTTAGTTTGAGTCTACTGTAACTCAAATGTCAGGGTAATACAGTTAAGATGAACAGATA